TCATTAACAATTTTCTCCTACTTCAGTGCAGAATAGTGACGTTTGTGTCTTGTTGATAACGTGTAGGTGGATGAATGCACTTTGGCCGTTCACACTGAAGTCACATGTCAAAAGATCAGATATGTATCAGTTTCAGGAGCACAGATCCAAGTGTCCTGGGTCACATTTGAAAAAATCGGATCTGTGTCGTTCAGACTGTCATTAAAAGATCAGATACAGGTCACACAGGGGCCAAAAAATAGGATTTGGGTCACTTCAGGCTGCAGTCTGAACGCAGCCTATGTCTCTGGACTGGCCTGGGAACACCTCGGGGTCCCCCTGGAGGAGCTGGAGGAAGTGTCTGGGGTGAAGGAAGTCTGGGAATCCCTGCTTATGGATGAATGGATGAACTGATGCTGAGTCTGACGTCGAGGCCGAGTTGTTCAGAAGTGACACCGAGGATGAAGAATTGAATGGATTTAGTGATTTGAAGTGAGATGGAGAGTTTGGTTAAACTTGTTCTGTTCTGTTGTTTATGTTATAGTTTATCTGAAGAACTGTTCATATGTGACGTTAACAGTCTGTTGTTCTCTTCTATTGTTTTTACTACAACTTGACTTTACACAATGAAAGAAATGTCTGCTCCTGATCTCTCATTTTAGAAAAAAAATTTCCCCCAAAAAGTGCGACTTATACATGTTTTTTCTTCTTCATTACATTTTTTTGTCTGGTGCGACTTATAGTTCGTAAAATACGGTATTTTTTTTATTGAACATTATTTAAATTCTTTCCAGCGAGATGAATTGTTCAGATTTTTGCGAGTTCACAATCTCTTGAGAGTCCATCTTGAACAGCTCATGAGCGTTTCGCATGTGAGACGAAACTGACCAATCACGTCGCGGCGCTGCGGTTTGTGCGGAAGCCAGCGCCGAAAGGAACCAAAACAAACACGGCGACGTTGACGGATGTTCTCGAGTCTGTTCGAGCGGAAACGCAGACTCTCGTGTTTGTGAGGGGGAACGCGCAGAGGGTCGGACGCCGGCGCTTTTCTCTTGAGTGGATTTAACTCCAGTTTGATTTTCAGTTTGTTGTGACGCTTCATTCAGTCACCGTGGAGGATTTATTTAAAAGTTCTGCTCGCCGCTTCCAAACACTTTGATCGAGGTCCAGCCCAGACTCATGTGTACGACTTTATTCATGACGACGGCACATCGACACGATCATGAACGTCCAAATCAGAGACACTCAACGAAGAACAAATAACAACACAGCCAACGCAGAAGCACGTTTCATCATTGGTTCCAGGTGGACACAAGAGGCAGCACAGATTAAATTTGCAAATGTTCAAGAATCCTTCATAAACAAACGTTAAATCTGATCTGGAGATGTTGGAGATAAGCAGACACTGTTACTTCAAAACTGTGACGTGTTATTTATGACGTGTTTCTGTCATTTCAGAGTAATTTGTGACATTACAATATTACTGTATTTAAAGTATAAAACATTACACGACTATTACAGCATTTTTAAAGACTCTCAACAAAGTAACTGTGTGAAGATGCAGAACATTTTGAACCAAACCAGGACTAAACTGGGACAAAACCAGGTCTAAACCATGTCTAAACCAGAACCGAATCAGTTCTAAAACCAAGATTAAACCAGGACTTTAAACCAGGACTAATCTTGGACTAGGACTTGGACTGAAGTTCCACCCCTGAGCTTGTGGAGCAGGTGTTTCCTCAAAGCTCGATCGGGCGTCGGCGGCTCTTCACCTCGTGGAGCGTGAATTTCCTTTCGCCCGCGGGTCACCCGACGGTCTACGCGGGCGCACCTCGGGGTCGTCCGGACACGCGGAACCGTCACGATGGCGTTTCACCGCTGCTGATGTCGCCGTGATTTTAGCGAATTTGTTTGAAGAAAAACCACCACTTCAATCCAGGTTAAAAAAAAAGCATCATGACGTGCGTGACGTAAAATATTACAGTTTTTCTTGAAATGCCACATTACTGCGTTACAGCAAAAAGCAACACATTATAATACGTTACTCCCAACAGTGTGTGCAGATAAGTTACAGGTCAGATCTGTGGAAACCATGTTCACAGTTTTAAATCAGTTTACAGCATCATGATGGAGTCTCGGAGTTGACAGATGTTTGTGAGCTGCAGAAAAACCAAAAGGGTCAGATCAGTATTAGTCATGTGATACCAGTGGCTTTGTTTGTTCTGATTCAAGCAGCAGTATCAACTCTCACGATACCGATACTGATACCAGTGAGTTTTGTGTTAAAATGCACTGAAACTCCTCTAGAACAGCTTTTTCACACAGAGGAGTGAAGCAGGGGGACCAAGAGAAATTTTGAGTAATCAGGCGAACAAACAGTGCCTCGCTGGGTTGAGTTTTGCCCCACAAACCAAAGAGTATCTGCTTCAGACACTGTACCTGCAATAAAAGACCGGGTCAAAATCGTCAAACTTTTATATGACTATTGTATTTTTCAGACTAAAAATGAATTAGTATAAGACACACCAGCCAAAAAAATTTGTAATCAAGAAGAAAAGTCACACTTTTTGGAGGAAATTTAATTTCTAAAATGAGAGATCAGGAGCAAACATTTCCTGTGTAAAGTGAAGTTGTAGTAAAAACAATAGAAGAGAGAACAACAGACTGTTAATGTCACATATTTCACAGTTCTTCAGATAAACTATAACATAAACAACAGAACAAGTTTAACAAATTCTCCATCTCACTCCAAATCACTAAATCCATTCAATTCTTCATCCTCGGTGTCACTTCTGAACAACTCGGCCTCGACCTCCGGAGGTAAACAGAGCGACGCAAACTCTTCTGCGTCGCTGTCGTCAGACTCAGGATCAGGTCCAGTTAGAATTATTCGGGTCTTTCTGAATCCCGACAGGATGGTTTCGGTGTCACTGAAGTCCAGGCTTTGTCCATCCGTCCAGTGACTTCAGGAAAGTTTCATGGTTCATCCTCCCGGTGTCACAAGTTTCTCTCTCACTCCAAACTTTCTTTCTGCTGCTCGATTATCATTTTCAGCTGCAGATTTCACGACTTGCAGTTTGTAATCTGCAGAACATGATTTTGTTTTTTGGGGGCGTTTGTGTTCAGTCTTTTCAATCGTCTTTATAAGCTTAAAGTTTAAATGTTAAATTGTTCAGTGGTGCAGAAGTAACGGTGCCATCGACTGACGTGATACAGACAGGACAGAGGCTCTTTCTGCAGGAGACATGCGCAGTAGAGCCAAGTGACAGTGGTACAGGAGGAACAGGAGCAGCAGATACTCACACACAAGACTAGAACCTCTCCACACTTCACCAAAAACATTTTAATATAGAAGTCGCACCGGAGAATAAGTCACAGGAAACACACAAACCACGAACAAAAGTGACACGTATAGTCCGAAAAACACGGCACTGCTTCTCTTTAACAACATGCACCCATTCCATTTGGACGTTGTGTCTTGAACGGTCTGTACTTTAGAGTTTCGTGCTTCGATACACAAACATAAAAATAAGAGTTTTTAATATCTCTAATGCCCCACTCATGAAATTGGCTCATTTTTCTCTCTCGTGTTTAGTCTGGGCCGTGTCCTCAGAGTCCCAGCCACAACAGTGTAATCGGCCTAATGACCCTCCCCACACACACCCACACATGCCCGAGCTCCGCCCCTTTACATCAAAACACACCTAAGCCCCGCCCCCCGGCACCCAAACACGCTCTGACCTTGACCGCGAGCTGCACAGATGAGCGGGTTACCACGGGACATTATCTTATTGCTTGTACTCAATTGTTTTATAGCTGTTTTTCCTCCATAAAACTATAAATCATTTTCTTTAATTCTAAATGATTGTTATTGTATCTCTGGACGTTCGAAGGACAAATGTTGAAATGAGAAAAAAGAAAATAAGTTCTTGCAAAACTCCAAAAAGTCTGAGTCGAAAATGAAGATTTAGGCCGACTATGGGAGATCATTTGTTCAGTCACATTTAGAATTTTAAATACAGCAATTTGAATATTTTAACTCTGAAAAAAGATTGTTTTTGTTGAGAATTTGAGTAGCTGAAATTTTAAGTGTACTTTTTCCAATATATTTCAAATTTAAAATAAAAATTTCACCTTTTAAATATTCAGCACAAACATTTTCAAGCTCTCAAATTCAAAGGTAAAAATTCAGAGTAAAATTCAGAGTGTAAATATAAGAGTATAAATTTCAGAAGGTAAAATGCAGAGTAAAATTTAAAGTGTAAATTTCAGAGTGTAAAATCCAGGGTGTAAAATTCAGAAGGTAAAATGCAGAGTAAAATTTAGAGTGTAAAATTCAGACTGTAAATTTCAGAATGTAAAATGTAGTGTAAAATTCAGCTTGTAAAATTCAGCTTGTAAAATTCAGATCATAAAATTCAGATTGTAAATTTAGAGGGTAAAATTAAGAAGGTAAAATGCAGAGTAAAATTCCGATTGTAAAATTCTGAGTGTAAATTTCAGAGTGTACATTTCACAATAAAGATCCAAGATGCCAAGACAGAAGCAATCGATCTTGTGAGTGAGGAGGACAGAGGCTGTTTCCTTTTGGTTCTCATTTGTGGGCAGGGTTTGAGTTTTTGAGGAGGCGAATTCTGACCAATCAGATCACTTCACTGCTTCACTGTACTATTTCCTGTTGTTACTAAGTTAGATCGGATCATTTTGGATCAGCGCTTCTGTCTTGGCATCTTGGACCTTTCCTGCGAATTATTTTCACTGCAAATTTTACACTCTGAATTACTTTTGAATTTGAAGCTTGAAAATATTTGTGTTTAATATTCAAAAGGTGATTCTTTTTATTTAGAATTTTAAACACTTTGAAAATGTACACTTAAAAATTCAGCAACTAAACATGTTTTTTCAGAGTTAAAAAATTCTAAGCGAGAAATTCATTGGCATTTAAAATTCAAAAAGTTGTGTTACTTGGTTGATCAGCATAAAAAAATAAATGAAATCTTTAAATGTTTGTTGTGTTGCAGCGCTGTAAAGACAAGCTGAACTCTCTGGCCATCTCCGTCATGAACATGTGGCCTGGAGTCAAACTCAGAGTGACCGAAGGATGGGACGAAGACGGACACCACTCTGAGGACTCCCTGCACTACGAGGGCCGAGCCGTCGACATCACCACCTCACCTCAGACAGGTACGTGTGCGGCGAAACGTCACAACAGACAGACATCTATACAACAAAACACAACAGACGAGTATCGGCAAAACATCACCACCTCAGACAAGTACGTGTGCAGCGAAACATCACAACAGCTGAGTATCTATACAACAAAACACAACCGACAAGTATCTATAGGCGAAACATCACAACAGACAAGTAGCTATAGGCGAAACATCACGACCTCAGACAGGTACGTGTGCGGTGAACTGACAACTGTCTATGCAACAAAACACAACAGTCAAGTATCTATAGGCGAAACATCACCACCTCAGACAGGTACATGTGTGGCGAAACGTCACAGCAGACAAGAATCCATACAACAAAACACAACAGACAAGTGTCTATACAACAAAACACAACACTCAAGTATCTATAAGTGAAACATCACCACCTCAGACAGATACATGTGTGGCGAAACATCACAACAGACATGTATCAATAGGTGAACCATCACAACAGACAGGAATCTATAGATGAAACATCACAACAGACAAGAATCTATAGATGAAACATCACAACAGACAATCTATAGATGAAACATCACAACAGACAAGAATCTATAGATGAAACATCACAACAGACAGGAATCTATAGATGAAACATCACAACAGACAAGAATCTATAGATGAAACATCACAACAGACAGGTATCTATAGATGAAACATCACAACAGACAGGTATCTATAGATGAAACATCACAACAGACAGGTTTCTATAGGCAAAACATTACCACCTCAGATACGTATGTGTACGACAAAACATCACCACAGACAGGTTTCTATAGGCAAAACATCACAATAAACAAATATCTACAGGCAAAAAAAATCACAACAAGTATCTATAAAGTGAAACATCACCTCAGACAGGTACAGGTACGGCGAAACATCACAGTAGACAAATATCTATATGGCGAAACATCACAACAAGCAGGTATCTATAGGGTGAAACAGCTCAACAAGCATCGATGAAGCGAAACATCACCTCAGACAGGTGCAAATATCTGTATAATCACAACAAGCAAAACATCACCGCAGACAGAGAGCATCTAAAGGCTGAAACGTCAACTATGACAAGTAGAAATTTGGCAAAACAACAGAGAAGAACATCACCTCAGAAATGTATCTACTAGCGTATGGTAAAACATCACAACAGACAGGTTTTGTATATTCAATAATCACCCAAGACAAGTACACATTTGGCAAAACATCACTATATACAGGTGAAGTCTAAATATATAAATAAGTATAATGTATAACTGAGTGCTTCTTTGTGTCGTCCTCCAAACAGGGACAGAAATAAATACGCCATGTTGGCTCGTCTGGCCGTGGAGGCGGGGTTTGACTGGGTCTACTACGAGTCCAAGGCCCACATCCACTGCAGCGTCAAGTCAGGTGAGAACCAAACAACAGACTGGAGGGAGGAGGGAGGAGGGAGGGAGCGAGGGAAGGAGAGAGGGAGGAGGGCACAGGAGACTGAAGCGGTGACGAGGAGACAGAGGTGATAGACTGTCTTGTCTTCTGGGAGGCAATCAGACGGTGCACCTGCTGTTCCAAACCTTTGGTCAGATGTTCTGTTGTGTTCAGGTGATCAGGAATGAACATTTATGTTGACGGTACAAATTCTGCTGTTTTAGATTTACTCTCATATAACACTAAGTCTACGTACAGACTGCAGCCTGAAGTGACCCAAATCTGATTTTTTGGCCCCTATGTTCCTGTATCTGATCTTTTAATGTCAGTCTGAACGACACAGATCCGATTTTTTCAAATGTGACCCAGGACACTTGGATATTTCCTCCTGAAACCGATACATATGTGATCTTTTGACATGTGACTTCAGTCTGAACGGACAAAGCGCATCCATCCACCTACACGTTATCAACAAGACACAAACGTCACTATTCTGCACTGAAGTAGATGAAAATTGTTAATGAACTCCACATCCACACGTTCCTTTCAACGGACTGAACCACAAAACACCACGACCAAAAACCTCGTCCTTCTCCTTCTCAATCTCCTCCTTAAAACAAGTAAGTTGTTCATGTTCTGGCTCCGGTACGAGAGGAACTTTAAAATCTCCAGGTGCTCGATGCTGCGTCCATGTTTGGACAACTTCTGTAAACACAGAGACGCTCGCTGCGGTTGATGTCGTCGTGTCTCCAGTGTCACATGTGGGACACTTTCGGGCCGTTTACTGTTCACACAGGGGATCGAATACAAGTCGCATTTAATTGGAAATGTGAACGACCTCGCAAAAACATCGGATTTCACAAAAAAATCGGAATTGAGCGTTAAGCCCTGCAGTCTGAACGTAGCCTTGGATACGTGCTCCTGAAACTGATACATATCTGATCTTTTGACATGTGACTTCAGTGTGAACGGCCAAAGTGCATTCATCCACCTACACGTTATCAACAAGACACAAACGTCACTATTCTGCGCTGAAGTAGGTGAAAATTGTTAATGAACTCTGTGTCACTGAAGTGAAGCACATCACCACTCACCACAAAACACCACGACCAAAAACCTCGTCCTTCTCCTTCTCAATCTCCTCCTTAAAACAAGTTGTTCATGTTCTGGCTCCGGTACGAGAGGAACTTTAAAATCTCCAGGTGCTCGATGCTGCGTCCATTAACTTCTTGGGTTCTTTTTAAAGACAATACAGTAAAGTGTGTTTATCTTGTTGACATGTTTCGGCTGCTGCGTCTTCAGATCTGTCCTGGTGTTGGTGTTGACGTGTCGTAGATCAGCTGTTGTTACTTCCTGTAGGCGTGGTCAGACCTGATGGACCTGCAGGTCGCTCAGACTGACCACGCCTCCCGTCGCCCGGTGTTCTCTGGAGGAGGGTGTCCCAGGTGTGTGAAAGGAGGAACAACCACATTCTGGATCGGGACGGGGCTCGGGTCATTGGATCGGAAAACAACAAGTTCAAACGCTGGATCAGGGAGGACGGTGAAATCAGGAAACGAGGCACGGACAGCGTTAACCGTGATGACGGAGCGTTCCTCCTTTCACACACCTGGGACACCCTCCTCCAGAGACACCGGGCGACGGGAGGCGTGGTCAGTCTGAGACACCTGCAGGTCCATCAGGTCTGACCACGCCCACAGGAAGTAACAACAGCTGATCTACGACACGTCAACACCAACACCAGGACAGATCTGAAGACGCAGCAGCCGAAACATGTCAACAAGGTAAACACACTTTACTGCATTGTCTTTAAAAAGAACCCAAGAAGTTAAAGTACATAAGAAGACAAAATTAACATCTTTGGCTCGCGTCCATGTTTGGACAACTTCTGTAAACACAGAGACGCTCGCTGCGGTTGACGTCGTCGTGTCTCCAGTGTCACATGCAGGACACTGTCGGCCCATTTAATGTTCACACTGGAGTCACACACAAGTCACATTTAACTGGAAATGTGAACGACCTCGAAAAAACATCGGATTTCACAAAAAAATCAGAATTGAGCGTTAAGCCCTGAAGTCTGAACGTAGACTAAGTTATGTACTGTTTTCAAAGAATATTTCTTATGGAAGTTTTTATGATGGGAGCAAATTTGGAGCCCAGTTACAGATGAGAAACAGGAATTTATTTATGGACTAAATAGTGAAATTAAAAACCTCAGGGTCATGTACAGTGGGTTAATATGAATATTTTAACTCAGGAGAGTCAAACTCAAATTCACAGAGGCCAAAATTAAAAACTGGGACTAAGTCATGGACCAAACTAAATATTTACTGAAACATTTCAACAACATCTGCATGTTTTCTCTTCTTTCGAGATATGTAATATTAAACCTATTCTTATTAAAATAAATGTTTAATAATAGTTTTGCTTAAACACTGAATCCAGAACAAACCGAATCTAAAATAATAACAACATTTTAAATAAATCATGTCTCTATAGTTGATCTGTGCAGTGGGCAGCTCTAATACAGATTTTTTTTTTTTTTATGTATGATTTATTTATGCTTTTTCAAAATATAAAAGACAAATTACATATAGATGTATAATAGTCAAGGCTGGTATTCAATGTAAATAGTTCACAATTTACACACCTTTAAAAACAGAGAAAAACAGAAAAAGTGCCTATAAAAAAGGCCAAAGACAAAAAAACAAAACAAAAAACACACAGAATATGTGTATAATAATAATAATAATAATAATAATAATAATAATAATAATAATATTATGTCAATCACTTGATACCCATGAATTCATGCTATAGGACAACGCAGCTCATAGGGTCACCTCCAACGTCAGAGACAATAAAATAATCAACTAGAAAAGCAGTCAGAGAGCGCAGACTCCGCCAAGGACTACAGTCCCCCTCATATTAATTGTGTTTTCCATAAATATTTGTCTCGTATCTTTCAATTTGGAATATGAAAGAGGATCCCATTGTCCATCCCTGAGTCAAATTTCATGGGGTTTGGTCAATAATTAACCCAGATATTGAGAAACAAACTTTTTGGTCCCATTTACCACAATGTTAACTAAAATGTCAAAGTGATCCAGAATCCAGGATTTCTTCCGGATCACCCCCAAAATGAAATCAGTTCTTCCTTTTCACATTTCCAACAAAAAATTTCATCAAAATCGGTCCATAACTTTTTGAGTTATGTTGCTAACAGACAAACAAACAAACAAACAAACAAACAAACAGACAAACAGACAAACGCCGGCAAAAACATAACCTCCTTGGCGGAGGTAATAAAAGGTAACCAAGCTTCACTAAATTTAGAGCCAGAGCCTTTGAGAAAGTGTCTTATTTTTTCCAGTTTCATAAATGAAAGGGCATCTTTTATCCACTGGGAGTGAGTGGGGGGGGAGGACAGCAGCGTAAGAAAAGCCACCAGGTAAAACAGGGTGAGGAGGAGTGACCGGCTGGAAGAATCCCAAACTCTAGCATTGCAAACAACTGACAGAGACTCAAAATAGTATTTCAATATGTTGATAATGCAGGACAGGTTAGAAACATGTGAGTGAGATTTGAATTTATTTGAATTTATTTGTTTGGAGGATAAGCCCCTTGAGATGTGTCACCATCTCGTTTTCGAGGGGGTCCTCATAAATAAATACAACAACAAAAGACAGATACAGTAGGACAGACAGTAGGAGACATAAGTTCAAATAAGCATCAAATCAACACAAACACAAACACACAGTCACACACACTTGACTGTTTCACACATAAAACAAATTTGAAAGAAAAAATAAATAATAATAATAAAAAACACAGTTCAAAAATAATCACAGAATACAACAAAATAAACAACAAAATTCAACAAAATAATCAAAAACAATTACATGGGTTATGTAAATATTGAACCAGATCATTTTTAAATAAAGAGACAGAAGTTAGATTTACATTTTACAGTTAGGATCAGTGCCTGGGAAGATTGGGGCGAGTTTACTCTTTGACCAGTGCACTCTATGCTCTAATACAGGTTTGATATGATCTCACGGCCCAAATATAATTATATCACGGGCCAAATTTGGTCCCCGGGCCTGAGTTTGAGACCAAAATGCCGAGGCTCAGGACTGAGTTAGCTCTGTCTGTTTATATAAAGAGTCTGCACCAGAGTTTGTTTGCATCCACAGGACCTCGTTCAGAAAAAAAAAAAACAACAGACTTTTGATTTGATACTTTTGCAGTAGTGTCACGCCGGGGTGCTCTACATGCATGTTTGTGGTGGAATGTTCTGCGGTTGCCGTGGTGACACAAGGCAAACGTCAGCAAACACTGTCAATTTTTTTTTCTTTTTAAACTGTCTGAAAACTCAATAAATATGACAAAATTGATTTAAACAGCACATTTTCAGAAGCCTGTGATCATTCCAAACGTTCATGGTCGTGTTTAGAGTTTGACTTTCAACAAAAATGTGAGAGTGACTCACTGAAAACTGTAATTTTACGTGTGTGAGACTTGTTTGTTTAACAGCAGAAACCATCTCTCCTGTTCTCCTTCCAACAAACTCAGCTCTTTATGGTCAGATTGTGTAAAAATAAAGCTCAGATTAAAGTCTAACGGAGCTTCAGCTGGAATCTGAACAACACGGATGGAAACTCTCTGCTTCATTCATAGTCTGAGGTTTTTGGTTTGACGTGAGCTCCTCATTGGTGGATCATTTACTCGGAGCCGCTTATGCAACGCGGAACTGTTTTATATTGTGACGACTCGTAACGTTCTGAGTCAAACCTGAGCACGGACTCAAACTGCAGACGCGATTATTTTCCACACGTTTATTCAAGTTTAGTTCTTAAAGTTTCATTGTGTAACTTTTCTGGTGGAGAGTCTGCTACCTCAGTGTTTCCCAAACTTTTTTTTTTTACTGGGGATCCTTGTTTTAAAAGTCACAAACCTTTGCAACTCAAGTCAATAGGCAT